GGGGAGAAAATGTCAGGGATTATTTGATTCAAATTGCTTGCATCCTTAGTAAGCCATTTATCTGTAATATCTGCAAAAAACTGTATTTCCATTAGGTTAACAAAAATATTGTGGAGTTTCTTTGGTATTCTGATAGCTAAATAAAAGCTTGTTTGACATTCCTGTAAAGTGATTGCATCCTCTTACTGGAACTACTGGATGAATTCACAGTTGAAGTGGGTTGCATGATTGCTCTTACTGTCAAAGTTGTACTTGATGCGGCAGATTTGTATTTTTAAAGTTACCTTTCTTGTAATGAAGACATAATACAAATAAAACATGTACAAAAATGAGGAGTAGTGATTTCTGTTACAGTATATGTGGGTTTAATCTTTTTTAAAGCACAGTACATGACTTGAAAATATAGCTCAAATCAGCATGCTTACAGAGTATGTCCTTTCTCCATTCAGGGCAGATTCTTCTGTTTTCTTTTTATTCCTTGGCATTTGCCCTGTAAACGCTAATTCAATTATTTTTTAAGGGACTGGTTTACATATGTTCTTATCCTTCGTATCCTGGGTGTTCCTTCTTTCCTGGGTCCTTTCATAGCCTACATTTTACCTCTGATGCTCTAGGAAGTGCTTCTCCAGCTCCAGACCAGCGCCAGTAAGTGCCCAGTAACATCTGCAGAACAACAGCTTTAAGCGAGAGACTTTTCATAACGCATCAGCTTGAAAAGGCAGGTTTTTCTAAACCCAAGCCTTGAAGCACTAGCAGCTGTCTGGTGTAGTATTTTTCAGAAAAAAAAAGAAAAGTAAAATATTCTGGAATTACCATGAAGTTGCAAATTCATCTGGGTAGGTTTTCTGGAGTATTTTTTATTACTTCTAAATACAATATAAGTTAAAAAGTGTGGAGTATCATACTTGTGCGGGTTGGGAACAAAGGCAACAATCAGCTCCTATTTTGTTTCTTTTTTTAAAAAAAATCAAATTACAAAAATTATTTAACATACAGTTTCGGTTTAATTTTTCTTTCTGCTTCTTCTGGTCTTTTTTATGGAACAAAACAAAAAAAATCCCATGCTTGATTGGGTGTATGTGCATTGGAGATCTATTTGCATATGTTCATAATGTATGCAAGAGAAATAGCTGTATATGCATGCATATGGAAATATAAATATTTATACATATTCAATAAAAAGAGGACTTATCCAAGACACTTCTTTCTTGGGTGATTCAGACTTGAAATTCTCCTTCTGCTTCCATTCTCATTCAAATTATACCATGGCTTTTTGTTCTTCCCAAGCTATTCTAAATTGATGAGTGAATATTCACACTTAATCTTGTTTTCACTAATGTACTTTCATTACTTTCCTCCAGTAATTTTTTCAGGATATCAACAGAAAACAAAGATTACCACAGATTCTCTCCCTGATAACACACCTTCACCAACTCTAGCTTCCTATAAACAGCATGAATAATGTGGAAAGCAGATTTTTGATTGTATTAGAGAGCCTCTCAGAGCAGTATCTTTTCCAATTAAAAACTAAAATACATCATGTGAATTTTTGCTTTGTATTCTTTTAACATTTATTAGATTTATCTAAGTATATTAGATCTGTGAGATATGTTTACATATGATACTTGCTCAGTGGTTTAGTAACTGCACTGGATTACCTTCTAAATAGATTAAATGCTTAAAATTATTTTTTTCTGAAGCAAAAAATAACTACACCTAAATTTATTGCAAAACTTAATACTGATCAGTTTATAATTAAAGTTTTTAGGTGCAGCCAGGCAATTATCCTTCTTATTGCCGTCTTTTTAAGTCAAATTAGTTTCTTTTCTAGCTAATGACTCTGAGTATTCAAGTTTCAAAGCAACTGGAAATCTATTACAGTTATAAAATAATCAAGTGTTTCTGAATCACAAGCTGTACATTTCAATAGAAAATATATTAACTAAAATATGTCACAATAATTACAAAGCTTCTCAGACAATGGTATACAGTGTACCAAGGCTACTAAAATCTGAATTTTCTGCAATCTGAAAAAGAACAGTTTGTGAGTAAGAGAGGAGAAAGCTAAACTGCTAATCCTGCAAAAGGCGAAGCGGATTTTAGTGGGCGCAGAGCACCATCAGTTCCCATTGAAATTAACAGCAGAGGACGGCGCTGGGCATCCTGCAGGTCTGCATAGTGCATATTTGTAAGACGTATTAAAATGTCCTTTTCACGTTTTCCATCTTGATTAAAAAGTCAGAACTACACAGAAAGGAAGTCACAGCAAGCATTCTATATATAAACAGACTGTATCCACATAGTTTATTTCTCACAGTTCTCCTGACAATTGAACATTATTTAAGAACATACTGTATACACAGATAAGAAGAAACATACAAAATGTTTTAAATGATGCACAACAAAATCCAGCAGTATAAAAGAATGCATGTGAACCCTTGCTCACTGCTCAGGCTAAATTTAATCACTGTTTAAATAGTAATAAAAATACAATCTTTCATGGATCTTGTGCAGACTACAAAAGAGGAAAAATTATTACCATATATATGATTTATATTAGGCAGTTTTCTTTGATGAGTTGCACTAACAACTCCAAATACAGAGGCAGAAGGCTGTGTATTTTATTTTAAAGGAGTTAATGTTGAATATTAGAGACTTTACACAGTTACTACCACTGGCACTTTTCACCATATTTTGTACACATCACATGATCATCTTATATAACATTACATTTAAAAAATATATCTGAGTGACAATTTTATAACATTCACACACCATGAGCTGGTTAAGGAAGCAATGCCACAGTTGCCCCCTGTAGTGCTTCACTGTTGGTAAATAGAGTTCATCGTGGTTTTAAAAAAAAAAAAAAAAATTAAAAAAATTGAAAGTCAATGTGATTAAGCAGCTCCGATTTAATAAAGGCCTGTAACCAACCATCGCTGAGACAGTGAGTATTTTTTAGAGTACATCCTAGAAGCAAACACTGTCATTGGTTAAAACCTTGCCTAAAGAAGTCAGTTACTGTGCTGAAAACTATTTCACAACAAAACTGCAAGCTACTAAACTGGTTTTATATAAATACTTCATCTCCTCTGGATCTCATTATAACCAAGTTCTTCAAAGCCTTTGGAATTTACTCTATCTTCAATGTGTGCTCTCATTTCTGGCTCACCCTTTTGTATGTTTTTCTTTTGCGTTTAGATTCACCACCTAAAAATGACTAATGTGGTGAAAGAAAAGTCTCCCAGTGAAACCTTCTGCACACTAGGAATGTTCAGCTGCTGTTCAGTGATCTAGAACCATGACAGCTCAAAGCTGTAGTTTGACAAGTACACCCAGGAAGCTGTCATGCTGTGAGCGACATTTCAGGGAAAGCAGAGTCTTTCCAAAATGTGCACAGAATTAACAATGGTGCCATTGTTATTTTCAAAGAGGATAGTAAGCCCAAGATGGTAGATCTGCTTCCCATGTCATCTATTTGCTGGAAAGTAGTTTGGGTCAAGATAATTGTAACTGGTGCCCTGGGACATGCAGTAGTCTCTGTCTAAAAATGTCTCTGCTCTGTAAATAGGTTCTAACTGATGATCTTCCTTATGAATCTCTGTTTCATGCAGACTGCAAGGGAAAGAAAAAGATAACAGTTTAAAAGTCAAATATTTTCCTTATCTTTAACTTTCAGAAACAGTGATGATATTAACAGATTCATACCAAATTTGATACAGTTAATTCATAATTTCCCCCACTATTTAACAGTGCCAAACCTATCTGTTTGTAATACAAACACTGTAAAACACACACACAAAAAAATGCATCCAGAACACACTTACAAAATACATCTCCCACAAATATATCCTAAATTATCTTTCACTTCACCCAACACAGGAGATGTGTCCTATGCTGGAGCAAAGATTTCCAACACACACAGCAATTAAGCCACACAGAGATATTCAAGCTAATTACAAATAACAAGTAGAAGCGTATGCTGCTCACCAGTCAGAACAAGAATCACAGAAATCCAAGGACATTTCTTGAGGGCAGTCTTGGCAGTGCCACCGAACACCCTGGATAGGTTCAATTCCGCAGTTATCACACTGTGAAGCGGATGGAAAAGCGTTGAAAAAACAGCAACTGTAATCACTTCTGTTAGTAACAGTACACACCAATATACCATATAGAAAGGCATGTACGTAGGTTGATTACTACTAGGCCACACAGCTGAATTCTTCTCATCACAGACCATAACGTATTCATGGATAAAGAAGTCCTCATACTCTAGGAGAGGCCCTCCAGAGCCCTGAGGATTAATCAATCTTTCTCTCACTTTGCTTCCCAATCCCTAGACGCTCCATGTTGAAATTACCCTCCTGTTCAACAAAAGCAGACCTAGTCCTGCCTGCAGTCACTGCTGGTCCTCACATGGCTTTAAGAACTGCTGCGACACAACACATGAACGTGATGTTTCTACAGCTTAAGTCCAACCACGTGAAATGTCTCAATATAGATTCACTTTCCACGGCAGAAGAAAGCAGTGAGACTAGACCAGGAGAGCCTGTTGGGAGGCTATTGATGGGCTGCAGATCAGGACACAACAGGTCAGACTGGTGCACTTCCAAACTCCAGAAGCATAACAACACATTGTAAGTGGGCTGGAACTAAAAGCCAGGTGGCTGGGAAGGAAATGGGACAACATATTCAGGAAAGGGAACAGAAGTCTAAAACTAAAGCTGAGCAAGAAGACAAGAACTAATCCCCTGAGAAGAATCAGGGACAACACAATGGCAGCTAAGTGCAAGAAGAGCGTGGCATGAAGAGGAGGAAATAAAGTACAAATGAAACATCAAGACTGGATGAATAAATCACAATGGTAGACAAGAGGGGTGGAAATGCAAAGATAATTGATTAAGAAAGAAAACCTGGAAAATGGGACTTGGAGGCAAGGAGAACTTTTTAAAAATCTGAACTTTGAAGCAGAAATAGGATTGGAAAGGAAAAAGAAATGTGGGAAACAAGCCTGTGCTCCCATAGCTCATCCTCCTTCAGAACCTGAAGTTCTCTCACAGCATCTGTGAAGCCCACTCACAGAGCAGCTTGTTCCCAGCCACAACCAATCCACTCAGGGTTACACCACTACACCTTACAGATTTGTCACAGCTGTACCCCTGCCTTCCACAGATGGCTTTCAGAGTTTGAGGGCTGATAATGAGGAGGGACTAAGCATACTCAGAGCTGTTCTCTGAATCAAGTTCAGTATAATGCTAAATACTTTGGAAAAAAAAAAAAAAAGTGGTTCCAGTTATCTCAATTTGAGAATCAAGATAGTGGAAACCGTTGACCTTAATTTCTGTGCTCCAGCTTCCCTCTCTTTCCCCTGTGAAACAGAAATAATACCATGCCTTTCATTTCCTAAGAAAGAAAAAGTATTTGCAAAGTGCTCTGATATTATAGCAATGAAAGCCATAAAAAGCCCACAAGGGGATTCAATAATTCAATATTCAAAGCAGAGTTTGAATAATGTGTAGTAAATGAGGCTGAAGGCCATGCAGAACCAAAAGTGTTCCGAATGATTGCTTATTAGGTCAGCTCCATCCAGCCCGTGCACTGAGCAAGGCAGTACTCCTGAGGGAAAATAGTATATAATCATGTAATTTCATAGCTTACTATAATGCATAATAAAATCAAATTCAGATTACAAAGAAATTTTCAAACTTTGAATGCTTGACACTGCATAATGCCAATTCACTTTTCAGATTAATTTTAGGTCGAAAAAGCAACTAGTTTGTTACCTAGAAGTCTGGTCTGCCTGATCAAAGTTTTGAATTTTGGGGAAGAAAATGCTAACTTTAAAAAAAAAAAACCAAACCAAACCAAACAACCAAACCCCACCACCACCACCCCCCCAAACACACCATGCTAACTTTAAAAAAAAAGTTAACAGAATTAGAAAGTGTCTTGCTGGTCTAACACCATGATTAAGTCTGTCAATGTCAACTAATGAGGCTGTCTTAATTTTTCAGTCATTTGGAACTGAACTTTAAACTGAATATGGTTTTTATTAAGAAGATGAGTGAAAGCAGACACAGTGAACAAGAACTAAGGAACCAAACTTGCTCTTTTAAACAAAGCCTTTTTAGGAAATCCAAACCATGTTACCTTTGAAAACTTCTACAATCCACGGAGTGACAGAAGAACATCTCTTAAACTCACCTTGAATCCGACATGCTGCACAAATCCACTTTCTGCATGCATCTGCTGGAGTTTCTGTTTCTTCAATTTTTTAAACTCTAACAGTTCTTTATATTCAGGTAACTCTCGATATGTTATCGGAATACTCTCTTCATCCTGTTCATGGTTAAAAATAAATAAGAAACATTCTTTCTTTAGGAATATAACAACTAGTAAGACATATATTCCATAAATCACTATGTATGATTAATTACCTTTGAGAAAATGCTGGCAATATATTCTAACTAAGAAACACACTGGGAAACTGTTTTTAAAAACACAGCACAAAACAGTGCATACAGCTAACTTACATTTTATTTTGTATTATTTATAATTATTATGTGCACTAAAACAAAAAACCATCATCCTACAAACAAGTTTCTTCTTGTGAAGAGCTTAGGTGTAGTATAAAGGAGAGAGCAGTGCCTAACTTTAATTCCTAGTTTTTTTCTCATCTTAGGTGCCTAACTTCAATTCACATATAATCCACTTGTCCATACATTGTGGGCAAAATGGCAGCTGCAGTACAAGACTTAGCTTTTGTTTAAGACAAAGCTAGTTTAGTTTAGTTTTAAATACATGGCAACAGATACTATACTTGAGAACTGAAATTTCAGGTCAGTTTTATCAAGTTAATTGACCTTTCTCTTTACTATTCCATGGAATGGTATGGAATAATACTATTCTAAGGATGGTTACGCTCACTGTTCTGAAGTACTTTCAAAACTGTGAGAATATCAAAAACAAAGGACACCCAAAAACTTTTTACAGTTTTAAGAATTTTTGCACAAACTCAGATTTTTAAAAGACCCATAAATCAAGACAGTACCAAGCTTCCATCATATGTATTTTTTATTTGAAGACAGTCAGTCTTAACAGTATTAACTTCTCACCTCTACCTGTATGAATAAAAAGTGATGAGAAGCATCGTTCCATGACTGGAAGAGCAGAAGTTTCAGAGTTATCTAACTCCTTCATCCCTTTACTTCATGCTGTCTCCTAATAGCTTAAGAAAATAGATTGCTATTCTTCCTAATTTCCTAAAAGTTTGTCTCCCTACAGGCTGTTGCATACAACCTTGCCAGAGATTTTTAAAGAAACACACCATTTCTGTTTTTTCTCATCCACTTTTCTTCAACAGAGGTTGAGGACCTCCATGTTATGAGAGGACAGAAGCTCTCATTCTAATTCAGATGCCCGTTTCAAGATGACTATTTAATTGTAGCAGCCATACTTGGCACACGTCAGCTGTTTTCAAAGATGACAAGTCTTTACTGATGTAGAGCAGTTTTCAGATCCTATACTGATAGGAACATTCAGCTATGGAAAACAACTACAAGACAGTAATCAAAATTCTTCTAACATGTAGCCTACACACATAATTTCAATTGCTTTTTACAAATCCATGAGGATGAAAGAATCTGTATTATTTAGTAAGTTTATTAAAGGAAGTGAGGGAAAGAGGCTTGCTCTTTAGTGTTAAATTTCTAAAGGCCTTATTGATTATTTAATTCTAATTATGAACCTATATAAAGGACTAGACTGCAAATGTTCAGAAAAATCAAGGTTAAATTACATGATTAAATTGTATGCCGATAAGCTACATTCTCTTAATATAAAACAGGGATTCACTTTCCATGCAAATCTCAAAAGAGAAAAACTGCCTAGCACAATATAACTGTATATTAAATAAACTACACTGTAATAGCTTCCTGTGTGGACACTTCATTCTGGAATACTAAGTAGTTGTATTCTAGAAGAATTAGACTACTCACAAAATGAAGTAATTGTAACTGAAAAGTAAATTCACTCTATTGGGAATAGAGGGTCTTCACTTGGGAATAACTCATTTATACTAAAACAATTTTTCAGGAACAGTTATGCCAGTCAAGCTGACTGGTAATATCCAGGCAAAACCTTTTGCCTTTACAGGGAAACAGCACCTGGTACTGCCATTGTAAAGAACTCAAAGAAAACCTTTCCTATAATTCTCTTGCTACACTGAATCTCTTCTCCACCACGCTGATGCAAAGTATTTTTCTCCAAGACACTGACTGTCACTAAGAGACCTGACTTTTAACATTAGAACAGAATCTTGTACGTTCATTTTGAATATAGTTCATGATCTCTTTTTTCCTTCCAAATTGCTTCTATTTTGCACTGACAATGGGGATCTTTTTGGTAACTGAGCTCACCTGTGTCTTTCTATATTACTGCAAGCCAGAAATATATCCATCTGGAAATGCTGCACTAGTGAAGAAAGAAAAGATTAAGCCAAATTTAAAAAAAAAAAAAAAAAAAAAAAAAAAAAAGGGAGGGGGCACAAGTCCACCATTATCACTGCAAAAAAGAGTAAACCAGCAACCTCTACCCAAATTAAAATAAATCCCAGTTAATTTATGGTGCCTGTATTTATTGGAGTTAGGACACCACAGCAAAACCGAAATGGTTTAGGAAAATATTCAGAACAGTTAGAAAATATGTATTTAAAAACAATACAGAATGGAAGAATGTTTGCTCAAAAACAGTTCCATTGAGAAAAGTAATAGTAATCTGCATCTCCTCTAATATGCATTTTTCTTTCCAGGCCTTTTAAGGTTCTTATTGGAACATGCCAAGTTATCAGGAATGTCTGAGATGAACCAAAAGACCATCAGAGCGAGAATACAGAACATGACTCAAGATGGGATTTAAGACTGAGTAATAGATGAGGAAATTCAGTAATTTAAGGAAGATTATGCAGTGCATGTAAAAAAGACAATAAAGAAAATGAATGGACTTATACTGGGTGGCCTTAATACTTCTGTTATGCAACAAGCTTTTCACAAAAAAAGATGTCACTAGGCTCACATACACACATACAAAAAAAAATTAACGAGTCAGGTTCTTCAGTCTAAGCACAGTAAAGCCACAGTGATTCACACCAGCTGTAAATCTTGCCCAGCATCCTAGTGGTAGGATATAGTCCCCCTATATGGAAGTGGGAAAGATATAAGTCTAAATTCTTGCAGTATTATCACATGTGATAAATTAGGAAAGTGGAACACTACATTATGTAATAATACATTGGGTTAGGATGTCTACTAGAATTTGCCTCTAAAAACACATCCATTTGCTGGTTGACAACTCTGTCTGTTGGTTCACGCTTTGAAGCAGATTTTAAAAAAATCCCTAATTAATTCAGCCAGTGAAGCAAGACAAAAAGCAATGATGCCAACAGCATTCAAATTTTACCAGGGCTCTATGTGACTTTTCTGATACAACATATCTTTAACCAGAATCATAACTATATACGATTTTCAAACTGATCTCATGTCAGATCACTTTTTGAAAATATGTAACTAAAACTTTTTAGAGCTGTTTCAGGACAAAACTGTTTATCTCTCCTTTTACATACTTCCTTTCTGATTTGGTCTAAATTTTCTGCAATTGGGGGCCTTTATATTAATGATATGTTTATACTTCCAAATGGCTCATGAATATTACCACAATTTAATACTTACTTGACGTTATTTATTTTATGGCAGAGATGCTTAATCCTCGTGTTATTCATTAAACAAGGTTAAAATAACAGTACGCAAGACAGTCTCTGACTGATTTAAATGACATACCGATACTTCCTCTTCTGCTGCAGTATCCATATGGCTGTGAAAACTGGATCTGTCATCATCTTCATCCATATAAACTGGAGGTTCATGAGATGTCATGAAAGTTGAAGGTTTGAAAAGATGTTTATTTAAAGGATGCTGCCGTCTACTTGATGACTACAGTGAAAAAATGATACATTTTTAAAAACATTCCTTGGTTATTATTTAAGCAATCAAACCTTGCCAGAAATTTTCTCTTTTGCACTGAACAGTCTACCATCTTTCCAACTTTTTTTTTTAGGTAAAACTCTCTATCAGAGCGTCATACAGCTGGAGATTTTCCTCCTCATTAACAAGTGAAATCAGATGAACAGTGCAACACTTCTTTGGTAAGAACCCAGTAAGAAAGAGCCCTTACCATAAAAACCCTGCCAACAAACAAAGGAGATGAACAACAATAGAGAAACAGAAAATAAAGCTGCTACAATTTTGAAGACTGAGAACCAAAGTGCAAAGATATTAAAGGACTTCCAAGAGTCATGAATGGTGTGAGTGCAAGACTAAACAAAGAAGCAGTTTTGCATCAGTCCAAGATCCAAGAGACCAGTCCATGCTTGACACTTATCATCAACTTCTTGTATTAATTTGTGCCTTAGAAAAATCTAAGTCTAGGCTAATTGTCCAGATTTTCTTCCTAGTAGAGGGAGAGAAAAGGCAATTCATTCCACCATAAAAGAGGTTTCTAAGAGTTAGAAAGAATTGCTCTCTGAAGGTTCTTTTTCATTGCCACTGACTGGAAAAGGAAACTAAAAAATGTTAGACGAGATAAATTACTCCATTAGTGTATATCTAAAACCTTTCAACTTTTATGCTCTCTGAAGGTGTAGAACGCATGGCAGTTTTAAAATAGATTCCTTAAAGGCACTCAGCCCCTATTACTTATTCCCCATGGAAGAATATTAAATATCAAAAAATGAGAATTTAGGGTGAATGAAACCGACTCAACTTTTTACTTAGCTACTTTCCAGACCAGCATTTTGACATCTTAAATGTCAAATCTTACATTCCTCAATTTAAAGAAAACAGTGTGACTCAAAATCCAGAAGTACGAAAAGTGCTTTCTTTAATAATCGTAAAAGAGAAGATTGTCTCACACTGTGTCTAGCTTCTGTCAGACAGATAAAACATGAAGAATATTTACAATAGTTAATACTTTCTCTTTTTACGCAAGACTTTTTATCCCAAAGGTTCCTAAATCAGTTACAAACCTGTAATACTATAATACAACCATTTAGCTCTAAAGACGGATTCAACCTCTAAAGAGGGACCTAGCATTACTTTACAGTTGTGCACAGTTCAAAAAGTAAAGGCAAAGATCACAAAAATTATCTTAGATGGAATGCAACTATGCAGACAGAAGTGTAACAAGGAATTGAGACTAGCCCCATTCACTCTTAAGGAAAGAGATGAAGTCTAGTCTAGTAATGACTGGAAGCTGGTACCTCAAATCTGCAGAACAACTACAGTGCATAGAATAAAAATGAACGTTTTGTTCTAAGACTAATGTACTATCCACTGTGTTGAATTTTTCCACCTTCTGCCTTATGATCACTGACTTCCTGTGCTTTGCTGCTTTTCTGGTTTCCTTTAAGACTTCAACCCCCCCCAAATACTTCCATTTTTGAAGTTAGACCGTATTTCAGCTTGAGCTGACACAGGGATTTACATTTTCTGTTAACAGAAAACAGATCTGTATTCAATACTAGGTCTGGAAATTGAGAAAGGAAAACTGTGTCTATGCTTAAATAGTACCACTGTTACGCATACAGTTATGACCTAGGAATTTAACTGAGGATTTGAATTCTCTTTTCAACATGATTCTACTTCTGGTGAAGAATGAACTAAAATACTACATAAAAGCAGACAGTTAAAAAATAATTTTTCCTGTGGGAAATGTATATTCTGGATTAAGCTTAAAAGCAGGTGCACTAATGATATTATATAAGCATTAAATTGAAAATGATAAGCCATAATCAAAGAACTGAATACTGGAGTCCTAAATCTCTGATTCAGTTTTATTTTCACCAGTAGCAGATGATGGTTATACAGGAAAATAAACTGATGCATCCTGTTTAATTTCCTGTATCACTTACCAGAAGAGACATTATGCCATATGAGGAGATATACACAGTAACTTCAACAAGATGTTCAAGAACCAAATAGGTTTCTCAATTCCCCAGTAACGATTTAAAAAGAAGAAAAAAAAAAAAGCATCCTGGGCAATCCCCATGGAGGAATGCAAGTACCTTCTTGTGAAGCATCCCTTTTCACACAATTATTTACATTCAATCTATCTATGTTTTTTATTCTCCCATAGATATGTGCTTAAAGTATCAGCATCCAATTTTCATACTTCTATTATTGGCAATAAAGCAGATACCACAGTTTACAGCATATGTGCATACTCAGTATCAAAATAAGTACAAGCACAGCATAAGCATGACCCAGGCTTCCAATACCCCGCACATTTCCTTTCTGCCACATCATGTTATCTCCATTGGAGACTTGGGAATAACTACAACCTGGTACAGTGCTGTCAATCTGTGCTCTAAGTGACAGCTATATTAGCAGACTGAGAGCTCAATTCCCCCACATACACTATTTGTTTGATCTTTTCATCGGCTGTATTTCTTACGTGGGATACAAATACAAAACGGAGCCACTACCTTAATACAAACCAGGGCACAATGACCTTACTTTTATGACTTGGTAATAAGGACATGAATCATACTGTGAAAACAGACATTAAGTATTAGATTTGTTCTACATACAAGCTTAAGAAAAATCTATAGGATGGTAGCATTACCACTGTAGTATGACAAAGTTAAGAATTCTATAAAAAAATATGTTTCACTCTTGGTTATGCTGTGTTTGTACACACATCAGTTGGTTTAAAGAACTTTACGGATCACTGTTCAAATTGGTGAAAAATATGGTTAAAATGTCACATGTACTGATTAAATATTCCCACTATTTATCAAATACAGTGATCTGCTGCCTGGGAGCATTGCTCACATTCTGTAATAACAGTCTTTCCAAATAAAACTAAGAGGAAAGAAGAAAAGACATGTGACTGAAGTCACTTAAAACAGTAAGGTGACATAAAGAACTCAAAGGATTTTAATTTTCAAAACTAAATTTTCCATTTTGAAATTAGCTCCACAGTATGGTAAACTGTACAAGGAATTTAGAGTTCTAACAGATTAATCTCAGCACAGTATTTAAGGTATCAATGTTTCCAGCTGGTTTTTTGGTCCTTCTGTCAGAAAGCACTTTTCCAATAGACAAGGCACCAGACAGAGCCATGTCTGCACCTTCTCTGCCTCTGTTTATAGAGCAGGATAGATTAAAAGCCTGGTGAAAGTAAAATGACATTACCATGAAGGATGGCAAACTGGAAAGCCTCCGATAGGAGCACTCATTGTTTGCAGTAACTTCAGAGAATACTAGGAGACAACTGGAGGTGTGTAACATTTTAAATCATTAGAGATGAGCTGTGGTAGATCTTTCTGTCAGGCCCCTCTGACAGTAACTTTTGTTCCCAATCTTCAAGGGACTAAATCTGCAAATGTGCCTTTTTGCAGAATCAATGTAAGGCTTACTCTATTCTTAATCAGAAAACATGGACACCTGGATGCAAAAAAGTAATGCTACTCTACAAAATGCCACTGTAACAGGTTTTAAAGAACTTTTGTGAAAACAATGGTAAGAAAAAAACGCCCCAACAAACAAAACCCCCACAAAACCTGAGGCTGCCCTCTTCAAATGTCTAGGGTCCTCATTAGTACCCATTAAAATCTTAATGGTCATGTATGTTGCAAATCAAAATAAGACATGACATTTCAGTCTTAAGCCTATGCTTGTGCTAGTTCAGTATGCTCAGTTATAGGTAATTTTCTTTGTTTTGTTAATTAGAAGGTGAGGGTGCAATATGAATTGTAGGGCTCCTTATGCTCTTCCAACAGGGTTCTTATTATGCTCTTCTAGATCAATTACAGTAAACTTACAAATGAGTAAAAAGCACCCCGAGACCAATCATTCAACCCTGTTAGTTCAGCCTGCAGTCTGACTGCTATGCTTTCTTTTCTTACACTTCATGTCCCTGAGATTATCTGACAGACAGATAATGAACAGATGCTGATGTGAAACTAGAATAACACCCAACTCACTCTATGGTGCTAATGGCAAAAGAAAAAGATTACTTTATTAAGTAAGAAATACTTGCAAGGTAGAACTAGTTAGTAAGAAAGCACTAATCAAGACTTAAATCTATTGAAAATATTAATGATTTAGATTCAATTTGCACGTAAATGCAAACAGAAATACAGAATTTCTGCTATAATGTTGTCTCACCTTTTTGGAGTATAAATATAAGTTTGGAGTTCTTCCTGGAACTGGAATACCAGCTTTAGTCAGTTTAATAAAATATTTTTGCACTCTACTGGCAACCTGGAAAAAAACAACATGCAACAGTTAAATGTCAAATGAAATGTAACAGGCTTTCACTTCAAAGATTTTGCCAGCATTGCTACATTGGTACAAGAAATCCTCATTTTCTGCTTTGCAACAACTTCTCTAACGATTACCTATCTTGCAATGTTGTCTATTGTAATATATCTTGTAATATTTCCAGACACTTCGAAGGCTTTCAGAGAAAAAAAAATACCCTTGTTTAAAAGTACACAGGAAATCTAGCAAAAATTGTGAGAGAGGAAAGAATTTTAGTAGTTCGTTACCTGCTGAAGCTAAACTTATACTTTCTTAACAATGACAGATAAATTATGCATAGTTAGCATACAGAAAGTACTCCTACATTTTATTTATGAAATAAGTAAGCATATATTTTAATTTTTTCAGCTATGGAGAAATATACCTATAAGTATAGATATGATCAGAGATGATGTAATCTTGTATATTGAAATATTGAAGTACACTTTTACCTGAAAGCATACAACTGAAATAGAAGAAATTAAAATTCTGTGAACACAGAACATCAGCTTCTTTTACTTCTGGTCAAAATGGAGAAATTATGTCATTTTAGGGGAAAAATCCCCACAAGTCAGATGCAGAAATACTCACTGTCTCCACATCTGTGTCCTTTTGTGGATCTCGGCCCCAGTACAGAACTAATTCTTCTGTCTACAAGTATTAAAATATCTGCCCATTCTACAGTACTGAGGTGCAGGAAATTCAGTACTTCAATGTAAGTCAATCTGACAACGACTGGTGTCACTATACTTGCTATACAGAATTAAATGCATGTTGTCAAAATCTAATGAACAGCTAGGTCCGGGAGCTTTGTCATGGGCTTTGGGGCACTTTTAAAATTCTGTATTTGAGATCAAGAATAAAAGTTGCATTTTATTAGTGAAATGCAAGTCCTACTGCTACATTTTTAAGAAAAAGTGATTACTGAAAAGATACTGGGGTTTATTTACTGCCATTTAAAAAAAAAACCCAAAAACCAACATCTACAAATAAATCTGTGAATCTCTATCAACTCCTAGGATGCAGTGACCGACATCACTACTATCACAGCACAAGCACTCAAACAATTGCAAGTAGTCAAATCTTTTTTCTATCAAAATAAATTTTATTGCTTTAATTATGAACATTATAAAAAATAAACCCTCTTTTTTAATTCCCAAAGTTATGAATTGGGTTTTTTTTACAGAAAAAACCCTCAAATTAGAAATAAATTACTTCAGAAATTGTATCCAGGTTTCTCTTCAACACTTACCAGTGCTTCCTAAAAAGCTTTAA